AATTGCTATCCACCTGAACCGTGTGTGTCTTCTGTGCTGTCGAGTTGGAACCAACTTATAGCGACCCTAACAGGGTTTTCAAGGTAAATGAGATGTTTAAGGAGTGCTTTTACCAACTTTACACCCCCAGTGAGTTTCCATGGCCAAGAGGGGATCAAACTTTGTTCTTGAGAGTGCTAGACCATTGTTCTATCCACTACGCCACACTGGGAATGCCATAACACAACGTGCAGTGGCCCACTGGCAGCTGATATTGGTTATAGCGAAACAGTATTTGGGTCTCTTCAGTGGGAGAAAGGAGGTCTAGAAATGACAGAAAACAAGCAAAAAGAAATTGACAGTTTAGTTAATGCAGTGTTACTGCATTTTACAATACATTAATTAGTGCACTACATTGTAATGTTATATGATGAAATATTTATATAAATTTGGAAAAAGTTACTTTTTTGGGGGGGAATCTCCCTCCCACCCCATCTAGCTTGGGCAGTGTTGTTAATTTCATTTAAAAGGAAAGGGAAAAGGAGACATTTGTAGGTTACCCTGTGTCCCATTTCTTAAGATACAGGGGCAAACATCAAAAGGAGGGCTACGGATCCCTGTGATATTCCAGGAGCAGAGCAAGCAATCAGGCAAGACTTTTAATTATTTTTTATTTTATTTTATTTTTTGCTGCTTTGCTTCTTAAGATACAGGGGCAAACATCAAAAGGAGGGCTACGGATCCCTGTGATGTTCCAGGAGCAGAGCAAGCAATCGTGACGCGAGACTTTTTTATTTATTTATTTTTTATTTTTTGCTGCTTTAATGCTGCTTCTGCCAGGGCTTGTCCAACAGGAACTCCCACGAATCACTGACTCCTACTGGAACAAAATGTAAGGTTTGTCCTGTTGTAAACCTGATTATTAGTGTTACTCCTCTATGTTTTTCTCATCCATTTTCTCCTTTCCCCTCCTCACATGGTGAACCAGTGCCTATTTCTGCAAATGAGAGACAGGTTAGAAGACAACTTTCTACAGGTATAATGATTATATCTTTTTCAATAGTCGTTTTAAAAAAATGATACCCATGAGCAAGAAGGCCTGTCCACCTGAGCTCCTGGTTGTGTTTAGGGCACCAAATTAATAAGACAATTAACTATCTAACACCAGCAGCTTTTAGGCCAAGCAGGAGCAGGGGGCTCAACCTTCCGCTGAAGCATGAGGCATTATCATGGCTTAGACCTCATGCCTCTCCTCGTATCCACACTCAGTAATGCTGTAAGTGTTGCTTTAAAATATACTAACTTATTGTTCTGCTTAAACCCCATTTATAGCAGTCCCCAGAGCTAATTTTTTCAGCTCCCAGGCTCCATCTTGTGGTCACAGAAAGGAGTTAACCAGAAAAATACATGCAGCGAAAGAAATATAAGGCAATGTGAAAGCAAGTACAGTACAGTGCAGGAAAAGGCACATACACCTATTTCAAGTTGAAATTGGGAATAAAAGAGAACACCAGTGCCAAGCGCTGATGTCAAATTGGTTAGCTTTTCAAGTAGAAGAAATCAAAGCAAGGCTTTCCAACATTATTTTAATATCCAGATAGTCTATTAATCATAATATGGAACCCAACTCCCAATTTTAAAAATGCTACAGATTTGGTCATTGAGTTAAAGGTGTGAATTTTGTAATTGTGGGTTCGTGGTAACAGATTGTCCATTGAATGTGTACAGTCGAATACACTGAATTGTTGCATTTGGTTGTATATATTATATATATGTACACAGTGACGTTCGCTTGCCTACCAGAACTTTTCCTGGAAAGAAATCACCTAGATGTCCTAAACTAAAGCATCTGATGATTTCAAAATGGCACTCATATGGTTTAAGGATGGATGTATTAATCACACAGGCAAACTGTTAGTCAATTTTGCTTTCTGAAGGTACCTGTTTCCATACCAAGCTGATTGAAGGTGGTTGTATCTAAAGGGTGGTGACATGTTTGTCATGGCCATACTTGTAGGAAATGTTTCCATTGTAACAGAGCTCAGGAAAGAATGTGAAGTGCCAGCAAGGGATGTCTTTGGGCCTTTTAGGATTACAGGTGCTACGTTTCTGAAAGAAACAATCTGAAGACAGGAGATAAGGCCAGAAATTGATAGAGGTACAAGATGACCATCTTCATGGAAAATAAGATTAGATAGTCACTTAAGCTTAATGCATGTGTTAGGAAAGTTACAGGCACATGCTCAGGCTTGCTCAATGTCATGCTAACAATGGACCAAGGCTGTCTGTTAAATATACACACATTAAATTATGAGGTATAGAATAGAGAACTGAGATGACCAGACAACCGGAACTAATGAAAAGGGTTGTGTGCATGGCATACATGGCGCTCAGACCTGCACCCAGAGGACAACCAGTCTAACTGTTGATGTGAAACAGCAGTTTGCATGACTTGTGAACCTGTAGGCCCCATTTATGGTCAAACACATATCTATTCCTATGCAGTAAGACTGTCCTTCTTTTCTTGTTAATTTCACTGAATCTCAATATACCGCTGAGGATAATTTCTGCTTCCTGGGAGAGGGAGGTGGAAGCAAGAAGTGAACAGTGTCAGTTTATGCATGTGAACATTAAAACTACTGTATTAGACTGCTGTGCTCTGGAACCAGACTGTGGTGTGGTGTATAGAGACTGTATAACTGACTGCCCAGAAAGTGCACCTGCTGTGTGGATTGATTCAGGCTGAGGTTGATGTTAGAGTGAAAATTATTGATGTCCTGATGGAATTTCTTCAGGGCTTCATTTCTCTCGGTCCAGATAATAAAAATTGTATCAATGTACCTCAAATAGAGGAATGTTGTGTGTGTGTATCTGCCTGCACTATATGTATGTCTGCCCTGTGTTTGTTGCTTGGAACAAAGAAACTAATCTGTAAATTGGGCAAGACATAAAAATATTGCTGCAATTTCCATCAGCTCAATGGGATCAAAGCCTTTTTTGAATCACAGGAGACTGTCCACAATTTAGTGGCAGACAATACCTTGCTAAGCAACAAAGCTTGAAAAAAACCTACCAAAACTCATGTGATTTTGTGAGCTAGGGCAAGGAAGCAGGCGTTGCAGCATGAAGAGACACTTGTTCAGCAGGCCGAGGCAAAGAGGCAGTCCCGGAAGCAGCAAAATCAGGGAGCTGAACAGGGGACAGATTGTATTTGTCTTCAGTGTGGAAGGGATTGTCACTCTCAAATTGACCTTCTCAGCCACACAAGATGTGGTTCTGAGTTCTCCATATAGAGCACGTTACCATAGCCTCTTGAGACTGAAAGATGCCTACACTTGAAATAGAAGGTTGATCTCTGCAGTCTGGACATGCGGCTGCTAATGCCAAAGTCAGGTTAAAAAAAATGCAGTTGGAATTTAGAAAGCAAGAAGCCTCGCAAAACCTCCTTATCCCAGCGTTCTTAAATATGATTTTTTTGTTTGTTTGTTTAAAGTCTCCATGCCAAGTGATGGGGGTGGTGCACAGAGCAGTGATAAGGGCTTTTTTTTTAAAGGTCAAAGTCCTGCTAGGTGAGTGGAATCAGATCCAATGCTCTGACCTGTGATTAGCCAATGTAAAAGTAGCTGAATAAAGTACACACAATTCGGGGGCCTATTTTATACTTGTATGGAAACACAATTGCATGCAATAGTTTATCTCAGCAACTGCGAACTTTGCCTCGTTGTTGTTTGCCCTGGCATGTTAAAGACCAGATTCTATGCCTCACAATACATGCACACAATTACCTTGAAATAGGAGCTGGCACCTCAGGTACTGGAGTAGAAATAAAAATGTTAATGAATCTCGACAAGGTAAAGCTAAAAACACCTACCATAGGATGTGGGGAAAATCCACATTAACTGAGCAGATCTAAACTTTGTAGCACAAGATAGCTCAGTACAGCACTGCATTTACAGAGAGTTCATTTACAATTTGGCAGTTTTAATATAGAAAGCCATGTAAAAATTAAGAGAGTGGTGGGAAGGAAGCCAGGTTAGGCTACGTTGGATCATTCTGGCTTAATTAGAGTAATCCAATGAAGCACAGTGGTTCCCATGGAAATCACTCCTGCCAATCTAATGAAGTGGCTTAATAAGTAAAACTTCAAGATTTTGATAAATCACTTACTTTTGCTCCTCAACAGAGAAGAAGGGGAAGTGAGGAAAAAAAGGTGTTTTTAAAAAAACTTTATATGGACTATTGCTGATGCACTGCATCATTTATAAAAATGTATAACTTTTTTTGGTCTTCCTTTAAAAGGCTGGTTGAGAAACTGCCTGCAGCCAACGCCACCACCGTGGACTTGAAAATGTTAATATTTTTTAAAAAATAACTGACATAGTGCATCAGCAGTAGTCCATTATACAGTTGTTGTTGTTTTTTAAACCCAGTCCTTCTGCCCCTAACTGCTGAGGAGCAAAATAAGTGATCCATTTGCCAATATGCTGAAGTGACTTGCTTCATGATATTAGCAAAGTCGAACCAGAAGGCTTGCTTTGGATTGATTCCAGTGATCACATGTGCTGGAAACGATCCAAACCAATGTGATTCTAAAGGCACTGAAAAAGTAGAAGCCACTGACAGGACTCAGAAACTCAGAAATGAACGGATAAGACAGCTGTAGGGATGGACTGACCTGCTCCAAGAAAGACATCATCTGATTTCTATTTTGAAATTCCTGCAGTGGACCAAACAGCAGGCTAAAAGCCCATGTACTCAGCCTCCTAGTTACTGATTATTATTTTTTTAAAGCTTTCTGCTGTGGCACAGACTATCCCATCAATCAATAACCACACAAAAAAAATACAAACTGAATTCATTTTAGCAGCTTCAGAAGAATGATTTTCAGAGAGATAAAAAGAAAGTCCAGGGACAGCTATGTGCTTGAGTCCCGACTAGGTCATCAGTTTGACATTGATTCACTGCCAGATTGTTGCAAATAGAGAGATAAAGGGCTATGACTGGCAGAGCAGAAAAGACCTATCACAATTTTCAGAAGCCCAACCCCCTTTTTAATGAAGAACGATGGCTCACAAAATGGGACAGCAGAGCTTCTCACCCCAACTTTCAGAGGGGCCACCCCAAATTACCGGAGCTAGCAAGTTCCAATTAAACTGCTGAGGTATCATCTGAGGTAAAAATAATGTGAATGCTTGAACCCAAAAGGTGTACTCACTGTTACTACCTTTTGTACTAGCTTCTAAAACAAATATGCTATTGAGCGCAGACCTTCAAAGTTACGACTGATGCAAGGCTCACAGTGAGATCTGTATTTTCTGCATTCTAGCCATAAATCGTTTGATCCGGGTTAAAACAGTGATCTATTGGCAGTGGATGCTCACAGGTTTTCAGCTGAGAAGTATAAATAAAGTATAGCAACCCCTTTCCTAAAGTTGATTGGAGAGTGGATGGGTGAATTAATTCCAAAAGCCAGAGTGACACTTGTAGATGCTTAGACAAATGTAAATTTACTCAGAGACAAGGACAGCTCATACGTTAGGAAGACTCTCTAGGAATTGTACTTCTGCTTGCTGGCTTACTGTACCAGATTGTTAAACAATGTTTGCTACAAACAATGACTCTTCATGACTTCTACAGTTTAGCAAAATATTTTATTTTGACAAAGGTATGTGAAATGTACAATATGTTTTTGTATATGTAGCATGGTAGTGTGTGTATGTGTAAGATAAACACATATAATTTTTAAAAATTTAATTCATCCAAATTTGGCTAAAATCCTGTTGCGTAACTATGTGAGTGTAACATAACGTTACAGTCACAGTAGCTAAAATATTGCCAGGATAGAAGTGCTATCCATGAAGCATTTCCACTGACACACTGTGTGATTGTTTGTGTTGGAGATGTGCAACAGATTCCTTGAGTAAACTGTGCATTTCCTTAATTGATTGCACAATTCCTTATTGCCAGGCACAACACATTTACTTAGTCACACAGGTGTAGCTTTATGTTAGACATTTATACAGATATAACTTTTTGTTATACCAAGGATTTTGCCCATTTAAGTTCTGCCTTTTCTGGGCTTGAAATACTTCACTCCTTCAAACATTATGACATCATGAAATTAGATACCATCTGTTTTAATATAGGTAGGTAGTGATAATCTGATGAACAAATAAGGACACACACTAAAGTGCATATAGTGAAAGGAGCACCATGGATAAAACAAAATGTAAGCCAGTTCTTCTTGTGTAGTTGCACCAACATAACACTAAGGATACAACATTGGGAAGCGAATTGCTTCATGTTAAGAAATCCTTATAGACATCTGTCATGCACTGAGTCATACAACAGATGATGTCTTGGTTATTTAACTTCTTGCAATTGACCCCCCCAGAATTTACACCATTAGTATTCTGCTGGAGTAACTATGCAAGAGAATTTTGGCTGTTGATAATAAATTCTGATAAACTCATAATATAACTAATCAGAAATAAGCCCTGATGAGTTCATTTTCTAGGTATAATGCCTATAAGGGTCAAATCTGAAACCTTTATTCAGTTACACGACCCAATCATGGTATTTGAACTCTGGCTTAAATAATAAAAATGCTATTATTAATAATGTGCCATCAAGTCAATTCTGACTTACAGCGACCCTTTCCAGGGTTTTCTTGATAGAAGTGGTTTACCGTTCGCTTCTTCAGGATGAGCCCTGGGACTGTGCAGCTTGCCCAAGGCCACACAGGCTGGCTCCTCTCCCAGGAGGCACAGTAGGAAATCAAACTATCAATCTCTGGCTCCTTCAGCCAGGTACCAAAACCACAGACCTTAAATGGGGGGAATTTAATTCACAGTGAAAGTCTTTCTTTCTGGTTTCTTCCTGATTTGAAAACATAGTGCTTCTTACTAAACACAACTACTTTAAAGTTTCTGGTGTACTTTCTGTATTTGCTGCGACTACTTTGATACTTCATTTTACCCCACAGTGTGTACTCCTAAGGTGTAAAGCAGTGAATCTCTGTTGTTATTGGAGTATCTCTACTATGTATGTACTGGACTTCATGTCTGACCTTCACACTCTATGTGCATAATTCTGATATAATACTAACACAATTATAACAAACATAGCTGCTACATGAAGTGTGAAATTATTCCCAAATATCCTAGAGTGTAGGGAAGCCAAACATATAGTATATCAAAGGCACTTGATCATATTGCAATGCCTACAGGAAATCATGTGATATATGGTTTTTTCCCCCAAAGAGTAAACATGAACTGGCAATCAAGAGCATGCTTTACAAAGCCCAATGAGCAGAAGAATGCTATGGTGTTTTAATAGTCAGTGGCAAATAGCCGTTCTTCTCGACCTGAAGTCAATGCTACATATAAAACATCGGGCTATGAGAACCTTCGTTGGAGCCTTCTATGGATGTTATCTGTGTAAGTGCTACATAGGTGATGCTGCTAGTTGAAAAATGGAGAATCTCAAAATTGAGAATATTGACTGATCCAATCCAAAAAGTCAATTAATGATGCTTTATCCAATTAATTATTTGAAGGTCTTATTTGAAGGTGCGTGTCATTATCAAAGAAGGCTCTGTAGTGAACTTCCCTCCTTTGTGAATTTTGCGTTGATCCAGTGGACATTCAGTCCGAAGCAAACTGTATTTCATAACTTGCAGCCTTGCCATCCGTGTGCATTCTTCCCAAACTTGTACACTAACCTCCTGTCCACTCGTTCCAAGATCCCAGTTTTATAATAGTACCTGCAACAACAAAATAAACATAGGACTGAGGCAACTTTTGCATGTAGGTTGCATAGCACATTCTTCTTAAGAAATGAATTCTTACTTTCTGGCAGAGGGGAAACTTTACACAGGTACACTTCAACACTAACTCTCGACCTCTGGCTCCACAGCCAGATACTGAAATCACTGTGTTATAGTTCAGTGGTTCCGAGATTATGCACCGCGGCATACTGGGGTGCTGCCAAACCCAGCCAGGGGCACCAGAGAATCCTAAGGTGAAACTTTCCCCTATCCATTGCCCTACAAAACATCATACTGGGGGAGCCACAGTCAGTGGCCAGTAAGTCAAGGGAGCTGCAAGATGAAAATGTTGGAGGGGAAAAAGGTTTTCGAGACATCTTGAAGTCCAGCTTCCCTTATTTGCAAAGAAAGAAAGAAAGAAAGAAAAAAGAAAGAAACCCTGGACATACTTTTCATTTTCTAAGACAACAAACCAGTTCAGAGTAGAAGTCTAGCATCTCCGACAAGACAAATGGAAAGGCAAAAGTATCAAATGCTCTTTTCATGAGTAAGCTGGCAAATAATTTGACTAATGTGCTATTGTATCTATTTGCTCCATCCACCGATCACCCCAAGATCTTTTCTTTGCATTTATATAACATAAGGTCTTTTGCATTTATATAGCATAAGGTCTTTTGGAGCACGTTGAACTGTAGGAAACTGTCTTGTCTTCTATAACACTGTATACATGAGTGCTGGCTTACCGAAGGGCTCTGCTCAGTTTCTCATAGGTCATTCTATCATTTTTTTTCCTTTGCCCCCACATTTTTGCCAGAGCGTCTGATTTAATGACTCGAAAGATGCCTTGATCTCTGTCTTCCCATTCAAGGATACCACAGTTCTCATCAGGAGAAAGGAGGAGGTCTCTTACAAATTCCCATAAGTGAGAGCTCTGCAGGCCTTCAGGAATAAAAACAGCAACCCATTAATAGATTTTCCTAGACAGATTCTCAAGTTGACAGGTCTTGTAAAAGCCACTGGGAGGAAGAATGTGAGAGAATGGCACACCACACTTGGGAGCAGAATCACACTGATTGACCCCCAAATGGTAATAATAATGCTTTGGAAACAATGGCAATCAAACTGCAGTGGAACTGAATCTTTTGGTTTACAGTGCAAACATATGTCCAGGGGCATGTTCAGTTTAAAAAATAAGGTCCCTGCATACACTCAACAAAATGTTTCCTCACCATTAGCCACAAATGTGAAACAATTGTAGCTTTCACAAATGGGGGGAGCAACCATCTCTTAGCAATGTTTGGGGTTCAAGTAGCCCCATAGCTGGCAAAGGTCCTCCTGCTGTAAGCTAACCCCCCTCAGATAGCCTGACTCCTCTCACACAAAAAGGGGTTTGTTTGTTTTGTCCATTAGTAGATATAAGAGACCACAACTGACCAGTGGTGGAGTATAAGTGGCACTCAAAGAATAAAAGCCCCAGGAAAGTCCGAGACCTTTAAGGGAGGCACAGACAAAAATCTCCCTTGTTGCCTCCTACTCTCAATTCCTGCTTCCAGGAGGAAGTTTCTATTCATCTTTTTATTTATTTTTTATTTTTTGGGATTGATGCATTGCATACGCACTGCCCTACTACACTTATCTATATTGAAACAATGGGCCACTAGATGAGATTCTAGTAAGAGATATTTTTATTAAGGCGATGACAGAGGATGAGATGGATGAACAGTGTCATCAAAGCTACCAACATGAATTTGACCCAACTCCGGGAGGCAGTGGAAGACAGGAGGGCCTGGCATGCTCTGGTCCATGGGGTCACGAAGAGTCAGACACAACTTAACGACTAAACAACAACATTTTTATTACTATGTTATGGCTGTTTATTCCTTCGCAGTCAGCATCTCACCATAACCTCTGGTGGATCCTTATCCCTGTTCTATCCCTTATTCCGCATCTTCTCTCACAGTTCAAGGCACAGTTGCTGTTTCTTTTAAACACTGGTGTTTGGGTAACAGCCACATGGAGAAGGATAGATTCGACACAGGAATCTTTCCTTAGTATATCAGGCAAAAACAAAATAAAAATAAAAAGTAAAGAAGACAAAATATTTTGGCACCTTAAAAACTAACTTCTATATTTTAATGTGCGATTTGTTTGGACAAGCCAGCTTCCTCTGACAGGAAGGAAGGCCAACAGCGTCCCAGGAAGTGCACTTCTCTGCAAAAGAACTAACTACTATATTTTAATGTGAGATTTGTTTGGACAAACCAGTGTCCTCTGACAGGAAGGAAGGCCAACAGGCGTCCCAGGAAGTGCACTTGTCTGCAAAATCTCACATTAAAAGATAGCACTTAGTCTTTAAGGTGCCACCACATTTTTATCTTCTTTATTTTTTATTTTTCTTTTGGTTTGGCTTGATATGCCAGCACAGACTAGCATGGGTACCTCTTCTAGAACTACAATCATGGAAGGCATTCTCCAGTAATAATATGTTGAATTTATATCTGTCATGATGCTGTTAAATTGGTACTAAAAACATTAAAAGCCTAGTTAGAGGCTGGTTATTTTTCATTTTCAAGCCAAACAGTGTTAGCTTGCTAATGCCTGCTTTTACAGGATTCTTATTCCACAGCAATCTTGAGTGTTTGTTTGGGGTACCACAAGTGACATCTGGTGGTTATGTGACTGCATTAAACAACTGATGCAATGCACGCCTTGCGATAAAATAATGGAGACTAGAAACTTCGTTTTAAAAAGAGAGTTCACAAAGTCAGATAACTGAGTGTTTGGTAACATAAGGTATAACATTGTAACATTTTCTAAGACACTTCCAAGCAATGTCTTTAGATGGCAGAGTTGTACCTACTTGTTCTACTGTGACTTTGAAACTCTTGACTCTTGATACTGCCAGTCTTCAAACATGCTTTATCATTATCTGAAAAAAGATGTTTTTTAATTGACACAAATAAATATGAATGGATTTCATAGTCTGCTAATAAGGTGATTGAAAGAGGTCTACATGTTCACCTAATGCAATTACAAGCACACAAACACTACATCACTATGAGTCTGAGATTTATCTTAGAATTAAACCCCAACTTTTCCATAAATATAAACCAAAGTGAATGATTAACCTAAAGTTGGACAGTTTGGCTGCAGGAGGTTGCAGCAGCTGCAATAAAAGTACAGAAAGGATCACCAGCGACCAGATTTGAATCATCTGAAAACATAGTTATCTGCAAACACAGTGTATTCTGATGGTATCTAGATATGTAAATAGTACATGAACCTTCAGTGCAACTTGAATGCAATTACCATGGAATACGGCAGGCAGTGAGGAAAGAGTTTACTTGATGTTCATTCTCTTGTTGGTTTGTCAGTAGCCTCTGGGTTGTCTTATGGCCCTATCTTAAAGTTGACACAGATTTTTCTTTCCGTGCACATGCTAGGCTCATTCCACATATATGGAAAACCATTATGTAAGCATACAGGTCTGACTCTGGACAACTTACACAACCTGGGCAAAATATATAATTATACAGAGCTCTTCTATAGCTGAGTCAGACCTGTGTGTTGCCAAATCTATGCACCTCACACGCAAGGACTTCCTCCTTGCACCAGTTGTGATTGTAATAGCTCCTCTTATGTTGTTGTTTGCACTGGGAGCATTTTTAGTCCAAAGAGCAGAAAACAATGCACTTTATTTACTATGATCTTGATATTTTCTTCCCATCCCTTATTTTATTTTATTTTAATCCCACCTTTCTCCCTAGAAAGGGACTCAAGGCAGCATGCAAGAGCCAAAAATATGTGTTTAAAGGGGCAATAAATTAAGATATTAATATGAAGGCATGATTAAACCTAAGCAGTGCTAAAAACATTATTTGTTAAAACAGATGGAAATAGATTTTAAAACACATGTATCGCTTCAGCAGCATTTTGCATTTTTAAATACATATTAAATGGTAAGATTTATTTCATTTAGCATTAAAATTTGCCCATAATCTGTAATAAATTTGGATCTAGACTGTAAGGTGCGTGGGGAAATGAGCAACCCTCCAGACATGATTTATTTGCAACTCTCATAAGCCTTAGCATGGATAGCCAATGATGAAGAACAATGTGAGTTGCAGCCACATAGGTGGTGGAGAAACCTTATGCCTATATAATCTATTTGATCACAGCTTTTTGTCATTGGTTGGGGGCAAACACTGCAGTTCACAGATGTTTTGCTTACATCTGATGTCTGAACTGGCTCCTGTAGTTAGGCAATTTTGATATTACTCTGCCTGGATGCGTAGGGAACCAATGAAGGTAACTGTTCATTAAATTAAAACAGAAAGTTCTAGAAACACTGCCCAAATATAACTCTGTTGTTATACGAATTTATATGACTCCTTTTTCTCAAGGGTTTCCTCTTTTATTTAGGAACAAAGATTTTTAAAAGCTTACTTACAATCTTTACCAGATGATTTTGTGTCTTCATTATCCTGAAAGAAGGAGATGCCTATAGGGGGAAACACATTGAATCAAAAATTCAAATTTATAGCCTGTATTTTCTATATTCAGACTATCTCTCCCTTAAAAACCTACAATTCTAATCTAAAATAGGCTTTGTGTGTGCCACTGTTTTGCCATTCTAAATATTCTTCCTTCTTTGTTCTTTTTCTTTCTTTAATCAACCAATTTATATAACCTCACCTCCCATCATATAAGAGTTTCTCTTCTGTTCTATTTTGTTTGTCTTATGGATTTTTTGTTTGCTCCTTTTCCAGTCTTGTCAACCTCTCCTATAAAACTGATTTTGAGCATATCTAAGTCTGTGTGTGTGTGTGTGTGTGTGTGGAGAGTTATTTGTTGGTTGAATAACTTGCACAAGAATAGCAGATGCACCTAGGATAAAACAATCTTATTTTGAATAAATTGTTGGCAAACTGACCATGAGCCTTGATGTTTTGCAGGATGAAGAACAGGTATTCTCCACAGATTCCTGCAGCATTTAAAAAGTCCTCTTGGGTCATGCAGCACAGTTGTTGTCCATTTATGTTAAAGTGGGAAAAGGAAATGCAGTTGGCATCCAGTTTGTATTGATCACAGCAAAACTGTAACCACTCACAGACGTTATGCCTTGTCCAATACTCTGGGTAAATGGATGTCCAGGAAGAATTGCATCCGGCTGCAGTATAGAAGAAATGCTGTTAAAATTTGAACAACTCTGTTTCTTCTAGACAACAAACCACCCCACTACATTACGCCTATATTCAATGTGCAACTAGTCTTCTACCAAACAGCTCATGGCACATCCTTTCCTAATGCAATACACTCTACAAATTCTGCTAGCAAGCCATCCTGCGCTGGCTGAGAATGTTGCAACCCGTAACACATTTAGAGGTTTGGAGAGGCTGTTTACAATAAAACTTAGTTGGTTTGCACTAAGTTTGAGGCTGGTGCATCAAACCTAGTGCAAGCAACCCAAGAATATATTGCCATGAACTCTTAACAGTATGTTACATTCAGGAAGATGAGGAAAGATTTGAGACAGATTTGGAGATGTGTTCCTCTACTTCTGCCTTTTCCAGGGGAAATCTCCCTGAATTGCCTGGGAAGGTCTGAACAACAGTTTTAACTGTGTTCAACCGAATATGATTATAGAGCCCCACACAATCATGAACTCTGCATTATCCAACGTTTTAAAAATGCAAATGAGGAAAATATGTGCAATCCAAAAATGCAAGAGAAAATGCTTCAGTCATGAAATGCATGCAAAAATGTTCGCATTAAGAAAATGTACACGGCTGTCCATGCAGGAATTAAAAGGAAGATTCTGCAAATGATACAAACAATAGCTGAGATGAGAATGGAAGGGGGAAGTCAGACAACACACTGAAACAGAGGGTGAGAGTTGTTCATATTCATACGGACTTCTACATGAGACTCTCACAGGGAGAGAATGGAAAGCCTTTTCTGCACATCTTTCCTCAGTGATACACAGAATTTTGTTGCTGCCAATGGCATCAAGGAAATGGCAGTCTGAATGAATTTGGTGGCTAGGTGGCGAGAGGAGGGAAATGTTACGAGGGCAACAACTAGGGCACCCAAGGAGAGGTGAACTAAAGGCCCTTGTGGGTCACAAAGAGGATACATTTCCACATTACTTAATGTTTTTCTGATTTCTTAAATTGCTTTATCAATTCCTTCTATTAGTTACCTATTTACAAATAATTTCAGAGTCCCATCTGGTGGGAACTTGAGAGAGGGCCTTCTCTGTGCCCACTCCTAGGCACTGGACCTTTGCCAAGAGAAGTAGTTTTATTGTTAATTGGTTTTGCTGCCACAGGCTGACACACTCATCCCCCAATAAAATTAGGCACAGCTTTTAAAAAATGAAAAGCCTAGACTACAAGAAGTAGAAATGATGAGAAAAGTCTTCCTTTGGTGTAAGACTACAGAGACAGTGCCAGGATACGCTCTCAGAAAAAAACTGTTCTGTTAAGTGAGGAACCACAACCAAAATGACTCTCTCCCTGCTCATTTGTTTGGTGGGGCCATTCAGAATGGGGCCTCTAGAGAATATCTTAATTTTCAGATTGGTACATGTGGAAGGTGATAGGCTTTCAGCTCACTTTGCCCCAAGCTACTTAAGGTTTTACGAGGCATAGACTCTTTTAAAATATTTGTACACTTACTGTTTTTAGCTTTTAAGTATTATCTTTTACCGATGTAAGTTGCATTGGGTCCTTTTTAAGGATAAATGCAGGGCAAAATATTTTACATAAACAAAATAATGAATAGATAAGGACACAATGGGGCTCTGCTCCTTACTAATGTCCTCTACTCACATGATGTGAGGTGCTTTAAGCTATGAGCTGCACTGAGAAATAGAAAAGTGGACAGAGGCATCCCTTGAAGGACGTGGATTCCAAACTCTGAATGGCTTTAAAGGTAAAAAAAACAAACAAACAGAGTTTTTACCCAACCGTTCAATGGATGGAAGGCCTCTCCAGTTGTCATGAGGGGATCTAGGTCCCAGGTATTCCGTATACTCTGTGCACATAGGCATCAACAAGGTCAAAGAGGCTTTGTTGCTTTCATCTGCATTACATAACTCTGTTTAATCATCAGTATTGCGTGCAAAAATGTTCCAGCTTTTCTCGGAAGCTGGTGTGGCATGAATTATGCTACCAATGTGCCAAGCCCTATGCCACTACATGTTATTATGCTAGCACGATATGTAGCACACTTGTGTTATATATGAAAGAAACTTATTAAAGACTGGTTTTTCTGAAGCCAAAATTCATTTGCATCAGAGTTCTTTATTATAAGCCAAAGGGAAATAAACTTGCTCTCTGGATCCTTAACTTTACTAGATATTGCCAGAGGATATAGAAGAAAGTTGGATTATCTATATTTATATTCAAGAAAGACTGTACTTTGCTTGTGATTGATGACTGCTCTACTTCATGTGTATTTCAACTGGATCAACAACTTGGTCAGAAAATAATTGTACAAATACCCCTTTTTGTTATATCTGGTACCTTAAATAAGAGTGGATAACATTTTCATTATCCTACTAAAATATTTTTTAAAAATGGTTCCTTGTCTTTTAAGTTTGTGACCATGTTCTTGTTATTATGTGTCATCAAGTCCCCTTCAACTTATGGTGGCCCTATGCATAAGTGATCTCCCAAACCCCCTATCATGCATGAACAGCCCTGCTCAGCACTTCCAGACTTAAGCTTGTGGCTTCCTTTATGGAGCCAATCCATCTCATATTGAACCTTTCTTAGCATTATTGTCCACTCCAGTGAGTCTTATCTTCTCATGGTGTTCCCAAAGAATATCAGCCTCAGCTTGATTTTAACTAGAACCCATTTCAAAATATTAGATGGCATTTGTTCTGTTGGGTGCTTGGTAACAAAGAACATATATGCCTACCTGTTTGGTGATCAAATGGGAGGTAGTCTTCATCAGTTGATCCAAATAATTCTGACCAAGACATCAGGGATTCACATATCATTGTATTGGGCAAGAAGGTATTATGACTTACTGGGTCCAGCATCATCCTAAAATATTATTTCATTATTATTTTTCATATTAGCAGTATTTGCTTATAGCAAGAAACCCAAAAAAGACTCTCATGATTAGCAACTGTATCCTACTGTACTTTGGGTAAGGTTGAGCAGTAACATTTTACACTGATATATTTGTAATAGGATTCCAGCAGTGTAACCTGGTGTCCTCCAGATATTTAGACTAGCACTCACATAATCCTCAGTCAGCATGACTAATAGGAATTGCAATTCAGCACTTCTGGAGGGCACTAGGTTGTGGAAATCCTCATTTAATCACAGCATCACTTGTGAAGGAAAAGTGGATTAAGGAATGTGCATAATAGTACAATGGCTAAATATATAAAGCTATGCTGCATTTTATTTGCATGAAAGTATATACACACTGCAACATTTCGAAAAGTGGCTTATGCTTTGAACTGTTTTGAAGCCTGAGCCTTTTATTCAAACGATCATGTACCTCCTAGAAAAATGAATAGTATTTGTGAAATTATTCCATCAACTATTACAATAATTAATTATTGTAAACTTTGTACACTCTGTAACTTTAGCTCTTATACAAGTCAATGTTATGTTATGTTCAAGACTTATTAATTAAGCCCTAAGCATCTGTTAGGGCTTATTTGCTAGGGCACAGAGTATTATTCCTTCAGAGTAGTTGAAGGTAAGATATTAATTGGGATGAAATGATCTATGGGCTGAAATCCTGTTGCACAGTTGCACAAATGACGTACCTTTTAGAAGAAAATTGCCAAAAGTGAATAAATTTTGGTAGACACATGTCGTGTACTGAGTTGCATGACTCAGAATGCAATAGAATATGTCTAAGGAGATTTCTCAACATGGACGTTTGAGTCTAAGGGTTGCGCTGTTTGAGTGACTGCACAACAGGATTTCAGCCATCATATCTTAGAGACTGAAAAACCTCTAGTGCATCATATACGGCTTGTAATGAAGATTGATATTTCTCTGAGTTAATGCTTTCTAGTATAATGTGATCGAAAAAATATGGGTGTATCCTGTGAAATCTTGTAACAAAAGGCAATATGAATCCAAGTTTTGATACCATATCCAATTTGGGGCCTTCTTGCTCTGAATCTATAGCTACATTTATTATTGTAATCCAACTTTGGTACTTCTGATAGCTTATAGCTAGATTTGCACTAAGTGTTATATAATTCCGTTTGTGTGTGCATTTTGTCACCAGTTTTGGACAATGAGATGTTAGACTTTAGTATGCTGACATACTAAAGTAAGGTGCTTTCACATGGTAGTTGGATCAGGTCAAATCCAGGTCCTGATTTTACATCATGTCATCTATAGAAAATACATTTAGCAATATGATCCACCTTTAAAGACTTAGGAAAGGTCTGCTGGTGGAGTTTCTCAATAGGAACTCTTCATTTGCTATCTAATGAATGACACTCCATGAATGACAACCAATTGTGTTCTTCTATATGAGGTCCAAATAGTGTTTAGCAGGCAGAGTGTTCAGTCATCCTTATGTTCAGTCAATTCAGGACAAACTATGTGTTCTTTTTAAATCACCTTACTGAAGAAATAGATTAAAGAACACAATGAACCAGGTTCAATCCATGTGAACTCCTTTTAAATCTTTGCATAAGCCTGCTAATAAATTCTAGCTGCTGCTTAAGTCAAAGATAATTCTTTTCCTGCTTTCACAAATTCTTTCCTATATATGACAAACCCCTTTATAAGTGTAATAATATTTTGATCACAATAGAATTATATCTGTCAGTGAATGTTTTCTTAATTAATTAATTAAAGGTTGGAAATGAGTTCTGCAGATGCCTTCAATCTTATGAATGCAAGTACAGTCAAGATTGGTCACCAGTCTTTGGCATCAGGTGATCAAAATAAACAAAGAACTACTGGGGTTCTGATTACAACCAGTGTTAATTCAGTGACTTTAAGGAGTTTTAATATTAATTGCATTTTAATTACATCATTGAATTTAATTCTTTTTTATTGTTTGTGATTTTATTGTGTTTTGATCTTCTACTGTTTCAAACTGTTCTGTAAAGCTGCCTTGGGTCCCAGTTCAGAGGAAAAAGCAGCATATAAATGAAACAAACAAACAAACAAACAAACAAACAAACAAACAAACAAACAAACAAACAAACAAACAAACAAACAAACAAACAAACAAACAAACAAGAGAAAATAGAAGTCAGGGAGAAGCGCGATCTTGTCATATTAGCTGATGGCTCACTACATGACATTGATTTTAGGCCATGACATTTGATCTCTCTATATAAAATCAGGCACCTGAAGATAATAATACCTTACAATGGGCTAAATCCAGTTATTAGTCCCAGTGAAGTGAAGTGGGGATGGGACAGCTTCCATTGTGATGCATCACATCCTTTTGTTCACTATCCTTAGCTGTCACAAGGAGAAAAGAGAGTGAGATGTGGGCTGCTGTTTTCAATCAAAATACTACATCAATCCGTATATTCCTTCCTATGATGTTTACCAAAGCTGATATGTCATTGGCTTCAATTCCAGTCAGGTTGTAACAGGTTTGGAATGGACAGAAGCCATTTTTGCTGGAGCAACTGCCCTGATATCAGCACAATCCCTTTGTGCTGGGTGGTATCAGTTTTGCCAGCACAGCTGGATCTGTGGGCACAACTGCTGTACTGGCTGAAATCAGCTGGCAGAAGACAGGAGCAAGAGAGGAGCTGATTTATGCCAGACCTAAACCTATCTCAACACATAGTGACAGCCATTATGTTTGAACAAAGAGTCAGGATGGTCCCCAGTAACTTCCAACATCCTTAGCTGGGAGGGGTTTGGATTCAACACAACCTCAGCTAGCTTAGTATCAACTCAGCCATCATGGCTAGTTAGGAATGTACCCCAAAACCTTGTTTAGAGTCAATAGAACTCCCATCACTGCACTTAAATCCTGCCCATTCAGTCAATCGGGGGATTAACAGCCGGATTTAGCCCAATACAATTCACAATTTAAACTAGAATACTGTATTTTCTTGATTTTCATAAGCCTAAAGGAAAGAAGCTTCCTCTTGTGGATTTCCAACTCCTTTTTTTATACAGTATCTCTAACAAAGTAATTCTTTTAAAAAGTGAGTTATGACAGGCAATGGAATATTTGGAATACAAGGGTCAAAACTAGTTTAACTACGGAGGCATTGGTCTTTTTGCTACAAAATAAGCATGCTAATGAGTCTCTAATTTTTGAAAGCTGCATCTTTCTTATTCTTTAAATCTAAACATATCATTTGAAAAGTTGCTCTGCAGATGTGTGCTGTATCAGTAAACGATTAAGCAGCTCAATATATTATATTCTGATGGCAGAAAGTGAGGAGGAATTAGCAAACCTCTTAATGAGGGAGAAAGAGGAGAATGCAAAAAATGGTCTGAAGCTCAACATCAAAAATACTAAGATCATGGCCACGGGTATCGTCACCTCCTGGCAAATAGAAGGGGAAGATATGGAGGCAGTGACAGATTTTACTTTGTTGGGTTTCATGATCACTGCAGATGGAGACAGCAGCCACAAAATTAAAAGACACCTCCTTCTTGGGAGGAAAGTGATGACAAACCTAGACAACATCTTAAAAAGCAGAGACATCACCTTGCCTACAAAGGTATGCATAATCAAAGCTATGGTTTGCCAGTAGCAATGTATGGAAGTGAGAGCTGGACCATAAAGAAGGCTGACTGCCGAAGAATCGATGCTTTTGTATTGCTGGAGGAGACTCTTGAGAGTCCCCTGGACTGCCAAGAGAACAAACCTATCAATTCTAAAGGAAATCAACCCCGAGTGCTCATTGGAAGGACAGATCCTGAAGCTGAGGCTCCAGTACTTTGGCCATCTCATGAGAAGAGAAGACTCCTTGGAAAAAACCTTGATGTTGGGAAAGTGTGAGGGCAAGAGAAGAAGGGGACGACAGAGGATGAGGATCAGCAAAGCAACCAACATGAATTTGACACAGCTCTGGGAGGCAGTGGAAGACAGGAGGGCCTGGCGTGCTCTGGTCCATGGGGCCATGAAGAATCGGACACGACTTAACAACTAAACAATAATATATACAAGCTGTCTTTCCTTAACAGGAATCAAGAATGTTTTAGAAGCTCTTTGGCTGGAATCAGTGAAAAAAAAAACCAAAAAGGCCCATCCCTAAACTAAACTAATAAAAAGATTACTTTTTTTATTAGTTTAGTAGTTTAGGGATGGGCCTTTTTGTGTTTTCTCACTGATTCCAGCCAAAGAGCTTCTAAAACATTCTTGATTCCTGTTAAGGAAAGAGGGCTTTTAAAATGTTTCATGTTTTTTTCCTGTTTCTTTCTTTTGTTCAGTTTGTCTTTTACCCAGTGTCTGCCCAATTGTCAGGGGATTTTTTTTCATCCTGGGTCAGGACAGCTGTTGTCAGCAGCCAATGAGAACATCCAGGAAGCACGAAGCAGGAATTTTGAATCTTTAAAAGAATCTGGATTGATTGTGACCCAGCGAGGGGTATTCCTTTTTTGCTTCAGTCATTCCTTATGAGCATGCAGATGTCTGCTGCCCTCAATCTTTGATCCTTTTCTTTTTTTACCCTCTTACGTGTGTGTGTGTGTGTGTGTGTGTGTGTGTGTGTGTGTGTGTGTGTGTGTTTTCCCTCC